TTAATGATTAAAAATTTTATTGGTGTATGACAAAAAACGATTACAATGTTATATAAAAGTTATCTGAACGTAGTAACTGTATGTTACTGTGAAGATATTGTTTTATAAGCATAAGCATCATCATCATCACATCAGCTTTTAACTGTCCATTGCTGAACATAAGCCTCCCCTTGGGGGATTTTACCAGTAGTTACCACGCTTAGCAGGCGGATTGGCAATCGCAGTTAGACTTTACAGATGTTTTAAGATACGCTGCTGCCCATCCCTCGCCCTCCCTTAGTCGATTCTTACGACACCCACGGGAAAGGAAGGGGTGGCCTATTCTATGCCGGGACCACACGGCAGACTCATAGGAATACAACTATAATATTAACAAAATTAATATAAGACCAATATGAAATAAACTAAGGTTGCAAAAAGTACCGCGTAGAATGCAAATAAATAGAAATAAATAAAATCAGACGGTCTGTATGCTTGTTTGCCATCTTAGTGGTATAACAAAATAAATAAAGAAATAAAATTAACTCGATCTAGATTCGATCCTGGGATCTCTTTTTAAACGACTTTCATAACAAGGTTTTATTCGTTTTGAAATAAGAATAGTAAAGTATTAATATCTACATACAATATCTAATACAATTTTCTGTCCACAACTTCGTACGCGTAGAGTTTAGAAGTAGATAGATTTTTCTAGATGACTTGATCGATACATTTCTAAATGGTGTAAAACATACACCAATTTTTCTGAAGATCTAATATTCAGGAATACAACTGTGGAAGCCGCATCCCGTTATGTAGTAATTGTTGTCCAGTATTCCAGAACAAACATATACACAGATACACAAAAATCCAAAAAATGATTGTATATATTGCTCTAATAAACTCTCTTAATCTCTTGTCTCCTATGTACAAATTACGTTAAGTAAATATTGTATTAAAGTAGGTGTTATTTTGCGGAAATCCATATCACTGGCTACTCGATTAGAGTTAATACTAATTGTAGCGGAATTAATCAAAATAATTCTTATTTTTGTTTAATTCCGCTACGATTAGTATTAAATGAGAATTATTTTGTTTAATTCCGCTAAATTGACTATCATTAAGTAAATAGTTACAGTTATTTTAATCCTAGCAAGATTATTTTTATCGTAGCTTGTATTCGTCGTTAGAATGAAAACAAAAAATTGTTCTAATATCTACGTCTTAATTATGATATGACAAAACTCAAGGTGTCCGCGGTTCTAGATTAGATTTACTATGTTTACGAATTACCTATTTCTCTCACGGATTTACGATAAACGGCCTCTGTTATCTTTTAACACAAGTATAATTATTCTAGTAATAACTATATGGAAAATTACTTTTTAAGTTTGTTGGTAATTAAAATACCGGCTAACATTTCTGTAATATAATATGTGGTATCTATCCTGATGCCAAGTCTATATCAGAATAGATAAATAAATAAATGGAGAGATTAAAATAATTGTTTTAATTTTGATTTATTCCCTATTGTGCACAAATATAATGATAAAAACATTTAATTTTAAACGTAATGTACAAAAGAGAGCTTATTTATAACTAGCGGCCTGTCCCGGCTACGCGCGGGTGGACATTTTTACATTAAAAAAAATAGCCATTAAGGCTGCACACGCGACGGAAGCTTAAAAATGGAGTAACTTTTCCCGTTTTCCCAACATTTCCCTTCACTGCTCTGCTCCTATTGATCGTAGCGTGATGAAAAGTAGACTGTAACCTGCCCAGGAGTATGAAGAATAATTGTTATTTCAAAATATTTTATCACAATTCCTTCACTATTTCTAGCATTAGATTATGGAATTCATTGCCTGTTGTCATTAGAAGTACAAAATCCATTGATGCTTTCAAACGACAAGTGAAAGATTACTTTCTCTCTATCTGATTGGTTCTTCATTTGATATATTGACATCCTTTATTTATGTATTATACAATTATTTACATTTGTTCTAGTAATAGGTACATATTTAATATATATGTATAGGATTATATATTATATTTAGTAAATAATTTATTTTTAAATTTAATGAAGGTATTATAATTATATTTCTTAATGTTTTACGCTGTTAACTTTCTTAATTATTCATTATCATACGTACCTGTACAACAATTAGTCCGTTACCCTAAGGTTGTCTTGAAAAGATTGCTCTCAGCAATAAGACCGCCTTACTGTACTTATACAACTGTATCGTTACATTTATTAATTGTCTTGCTTAATGCCTATAATACAAATAAAGTATATTTACTAGAGGGAGACCTTGTACAAAATTCGTTTGCTTGGTTACCTCTGTCCCATTCAGATGTCCCAGACATGAGCAATACCATGGACATAACAGAGTATACTGTTTCGCCCATGATACCCCCTTGGTAATGTGAATTACCAAACCCATTACTAGCAATATATTCAATCAGGTCGACTTCCACGTGGTCCCCCTGGAAACCATTATGCTGCATTTCAGATGTATTCATCACGATGGGCTAACTGACCTGCCTTTTCATTCTCACCCATCATTCCTCACTGGTGCCCTGCCAGCGTATACCGATAACGCAGGCGGGGTTTTTTTTATACAACTTAGAATGACAAACAAGCTGACGGCCCACCTGATGGAAAGTGGTAACCGTCGCCTATAGACATGAGCAGTGCCATGGACATAACAGAGTATACTGTTTCGCCCATGATACCCCCCATGCGTTGCCATTCCTAAGGACTCCGGTGTTATTCCTCTGTACCCTGTAAATCCACGCCATATCCCACCCTTTAAATCGAAACACAGCCATGCAAACACAACTGCTTTACGGTAGAAATACGAATGGGACAGAGGTACCCAAGGAAACGACTTTTGTACAAAGTCTTCCTCTGGTAAATGGGATGTATCGTTAGTAAAGTGTAAATGTAATATGATTCGTAAAGTAATCATTTTACCCTTCCCTGCTCTTACACTACCGCTCGAGTTCATATAGCAACAGAATACGGATTGTAAAAATTGACAGTATCATCCAATTATGTAATACAAAGTGTGGGCAAGGTTCAAACGCTGACATTTCCTGATAACATTGTATTGTTTTAATTATTTCCATAATTATTTACCTTTTTTATGTGTTTTAGGTAATATCGTTAACGGATATATTTTTTTTTATTTGAGATAAATGTCAAGAGTTTTCACAATTTGATATATTTAAGATTATTTTTCAAAGTCAGATGAAGGGTATTTCTCATGGTAGGTCCACCATGAAATGTTTTCCGTCCGAACGAAACACAAGTTTGATGTGAAAATTACATAATACATATTGTTTAAAAATGTTAATATATCTTTCCTTTGAACTATTGTGGTATGATTTATAACGAACGAAATAAAATAATATAAGCTCCATTTATTGAATCGATTTCGATATGAACAATAAAACACAAATCGGAATTTCACTTCATTGTAGACCCCCTTAAAAGGCCACACCGGTCTTAGCTTATAATTGGAAGCTCCCCCCCCCCCCCCCCCCCCCCCCCCCCCCCTAAATAGGCCTACATATAATCTTTATAACTACTAGTAGTGAGAGTAGTACTCTCTTGTTTTAAAGAGTTTCTAGACGAGTATAACGAAGATGGAAGCTGTAAGCTTTTGTCGTTACTCGACCCCATATTTCATTGGGGAAAAATTTATTTATTCTTTATTGTACACAAAAAATTACAACATATAATATATATAAAATAAAGATGTACAACAGGCGAGCTTAACTCTGTAAGAGTTCTCTTCCAGCAAACCCTGAGTGGAAAGGAGCATTAATTACTAGCGGGCAGTGTGCGTAAAGGAAACACTAGGCGTTATGTCGTATAGGGAGATAAAGGATATGGCCTGGGATAGAGCTGGCTGGAGGAAGATGCATGGATTAGTTGCACCGACAAGAGGAAACTCTTAAATGAAAAAAAAAAAAGTATGCGTATAATATACGTAAATATGTTAGTTCTGCTGTCAGAATACTGTCTTAACGAGATGTTAATGCTTTTAGTCTGATCCTGTGCATCTATTTCATATCAGCCGTTAATTGTCCATTGCTGAACATAGATCTCCCCCAAAAGGGGAGTGTTGCCAAGAGTTGCCATGTTTATGCGCTTACGCACGCTGCGGCCCTTTCCTTGACCATCAAGTCCCTTAGTTGCATCTGACGAAACCCACAGCAGATGAAGGGAACTTTTCCATATACTTTTGCGCAAAAGACAAAATATTTCGCAAATATCTCCCATGTACAGACATGGTCTTGTTAAATTTTATTATATTGATAACAATGTGGTGAAATATCTATGTGTGCTGTCGCTGTGTTCGAAATATAATATTTTTAATTGTTTTCTAAACATATAACGTATCTTTTTGTTTATACCACTGAAGTGGCAAACAAGTATACGGCCCACCTGATAGTAAGCGGTTACCATAGCCTATGAACGCCTGCAATACCAAGGGCATTAATAACGTATCGTCCACCAGAGGGAGACTTTGTACAAAAGTCGTTTGCTTGGGTACCTCTGTCCCATTCGTGTTTCAACCGTAAAGCAGTTGTGTTTGCATGGCTGTGTTTCCGTTTGAAGGGACTAACCCTTTTGAAAATATGTTTTAGTGAATATACCGTGAATTTACAGGGTACAGAGGATTAACACCTGAGTCCTCAGGAATGGCAACACATGGGGGGCGAAACAATATACTCTGTTATGTCCATGGTACTGTTCATGTCTATAGGCGACGGTTACCACTTTCCATCAGGTGGGGCGTCAACTTGTTTGCCATTCTAAGTTGTATAAAAAAAAATCTTTTAAAAAGATTTACTTTTATGTCATTAATTATTTATTTTGTTCCTGTACATATTATTAATCTTTATAATCTATATCTTTTTTATGGGAACAGTAGTTTTCATTCATTCACTCATTATCTGATAATTTATAATATATAGTAGATATAATAAACTGTTATGATTTGTTTCAGACGAGATGCCAGTCAAGGACGGCACCAAGAAGTCACTTGTTGGTGTCATAGACGACGGTACAAAGACTGTTAGATTTGTGGTGAGTACATGAGCTGCTAATTTTTGTTTTATGTAAAACTTAGAATGGCAAACACGCTGACGGCCCACCTGATGGGAAGTGGTAACCGTCGCCTATAGACATAAACAGTGCCATGGACATAACAGAATATACTGTTTATAAGTGAACTAATCAGAAAGTATTATAGTCTCTGTCCCTCCTATATTACTGTCAGAACAGCTGTATTTCTATGCATACGTATTTTGTTATCGTCATCATCAAATCAGCGATTAACTGTCCACTGCTGAATATAGGCCTTTTTTTTATACGACTTAGAATGGCAAACAAGCTGACGGCCCACCTGCTGGAAAGTTTTCTGTTACGTCTTGACCAGACAATTTTAATTATTCCTCTCCATCCTAAGGTTTTCTGGAAGAGATCGAAGAGAGAAAGGCCGCCCATTGTTGCCTCTTTATGTTACTTTTATCTAATTAAGTTTATGTAATTAATTATTCATTTTTTATGTACATATTACATACATATATATCTGTCACGACTGTCTCCCATTAGGGTAGGCAGAAACAATGGAACGCCAAATTCATTCACTCGTTCATAAGTTTGTCGCATGTTCCAACAATATTTGCCTTCTATTTACGATAGTTTTCTTTTTTATTGGACAGGAAAACTTGTTGGACAGTAATATAAAAAAGTATTAGTTGGATATTTGTTACAGATATACGAAGCGGAAAGGTCAGAAGAATTGGCCGCGTACCAGCTAGACAAGACAGAAGTACAACCCCAGGAGGGATGGTCAGAGCAGGATCCACAGGAAATCATTCACCACATCAGAATATGCGCCGAAAACGCCATAGGAAAATTACCAGAATTAGGTGAGATAGATTATAATGAACTAAAAAGTATAGGAAAGAGACAATCTCTTTTGTTTGTTAGAAAAAATATAGATTTTTGTCGAAGAACCCTCAGCCATTTCAGTCTATGGCGCTCACAAGTTTTTTTTTTTATACAGTGAGCTGCTTTCAAGGAATAATTAAAAAAAAGATCTATTAACATTGTCTTGACATGTAATAATAGTCTGTAAGTTTTGACCGACTTTAAAAAAGGGAGAGCTTCTCAATTAAATTTTCAGAACTACTACGTATAAACTAATTTGAAAATGTCTTTTTTATCCGAAAAGATATACTTTCAGTTTCGTACCATAGAAATTTTATCACAATCGATTCAATAGTTTAGTTTTTAAATCGAAATAATAATATAATATAAATAATAATAATTATTATTATTATTAATTAATTATTATAATAATTATTATTATTTTGTCACAATTGAAGTAATTGTTTACTGAACAAAATCTTTTTTATTGTAAATTATTTATTTATTAATACTTAATTGCGCACAAAGCTTACATTGTTACAATTTTTTGGATAATTAATGAATAATTACTTTATTACTCAATTGTCTCTTTTCATAAATAGTAATTCTCATATATAATAAATAGATCGTGAGAACTTTGGTTATTTAACAAATATATTCTTTTTTTTTTTAGGTTACACAAAAGATGACATTATCACTTTAGGAATAACAAATCAAAGAGAGACAACAATAGCATGGGACAAGATTACGGGCCAACCATTGCATCCTGCTATAGGTAAACTGTTTTCACCTTACTTCCTACACATCATCATCATCATCATCATCACATCAGCCGTTAACTGTTCATTGCTAAACATAGTCATAAGGAGGGTTTTGCCATTACTTGTCATAATTGACAGGCAGATTGGCAACGACAATTAGGGTTTTGGTGATGTTTCAAGAGAAACGCTGTTGTTCATCCCTCTACCTTTAAATTCTCTTAGTCGCCTCCTACGACACCCACGGGCAAGGAAGGGGTGGTCCATTCTATGCTTTTTTTTTAATTGATGATAATGGAATGGTAACCCCGCCATGCGCTCTCGGTATACGCTGACGGGGCACCAGTGATAGATGATAGGTGACGATGAAAGCAGGTTAGTTAGCCTATCGTGACGAATTCCACAACGATGGTTTCCAGGGGGACCGCTTGGAGGTCGACCTGACAGGGTGTGTTGCTAACAATGAATCAATTAGACCCCATTACTAATATATAATATTACATATATACTAATATATATATATATATATATATATATATATATATATATATATATATATATATATATATATATATATATATATATATATATATATATATTAGTATATATGTAATATTATATGGTTATAGGTTATAGCAGGTTATAGTATACTACTAGTACATACTTTTCATCACGCTACGATCAATAGGAGCAGAACAGTAAAGGGAAATGTTAAAAATGTCCACCCGTGCGACGCCGGGACGGGCCGCTAGTACTGTAATATATTTAATGTTTGGTGTTCCTATGGATAAATAAATAAATACAAATATTCATATTGTATGGGGATCGAACCCGCAACCTTCGGAAAGTAACACTGTTCCAATGAAACACTTTTTTATCAGTTTATTACACGCGTCCGTCTAGCAAACAGGATGCTAACTTCAAGCTGCAACTGAAAATCAGTGGTTTGCTTTTAAGCAAAACTCATTGAGCTAGGCTACAGCCTATTTGGGTCACTGTGACACACATGGCGAAAACATATTTTCGTATTTTATCTTTTGATTTATATTTAAAAATAGTGTAATTAATTTGATTGTATGAACTCATTTGTTAATTTACGTGTGTCATAAAAAGGCTCAAATAAAGTGTTTATCTATCTATCTTTCTTAAGTAAATTTAACGAAATAAATGATTTTTCTACAGCGTGGAACGATATACGAACAAGTACTACAGTGGACGCGATATTAGCAAAAGTGCCAGACAGGAATAAGAATTACTTGAAACACATTAGCGGTCTTCCAATCAGCCCGTACTTCAGTGCGCTAAAGATGAAATGGCTGAAGGACAACGTGAAGGCGGTGAAGAAGGCCAGCAAAGAGAGGAAGCTGCTGTTCGGAACCGTGGACTCTTGGATAGTTTGGGTAAGTGGGATATAGGACCAGCTTACCAGAGGGATAATGTACAAAAGTCGTCTTTTGTAAATAAATAAATAAATATTTATTTATTCATAGGAAAACCAGGGCTACACTAGAGCAAAAAGATACAGTTTAGGATCACAAAATAAGCCACTAATAGGTTTTCACAAGTAGCAACAATATAGATACAAGGCGCTGTACACAAAGCAACAAAAATAGGAGTTAACAAAAAATATGCTACGTATCGTTGGTATCATATAAACTTTACCAAATAAAAAAATCTGTTGTTTTTAGACGTTAACCGGCGGACCAAACGGCGGTCTTCACATAACGGACGTCACAAATGCATCTCGAACGTTGCTCATGAATTTAGATACATTAAATTGGGACCCCATGCTGTGCCGGTAAGCTTTGATTTTTGTTTATTTTATTTATTTATTTATTCATTAGTACAAATATCTGTACATGGCGGACTTAATGCTAAAAGCATTCTCTCCCAGTCAACCATAGGGAAGTGTCAGAATACTCGAATGCGGTACTATTAATTATTGATATACATACATACTAAAATTACATATATAAACGATGATATATATCATGTATACTACTATATTATACGAGGTCTGTCCGGAAAGTTCGTATAAAAGTGTTCTGGAATGTGAGAAAGAGGAGTGGGGAGGCCAGGTAAGCGCAGGACCCCTTCCTTATGTCCCTAACAATGCTTCAGTTCTGGTCTGACCGCCGTGCGGTGCGAACTGGCTTGTCACGCCATCTGTGAAGTTACCTCTTAACGAAACCCCGTCGGCATGGAGCCCGCTTCCGTTGAAGAGCAGCGCGTCGTAATCAAGTTTCTCTCGAAACTCGGCAAGAATGGCCGTGAAAGCAAAGAGTGGAAGACATCCGGGGAACCACGAACAAAAAAATCAAGAAAATCCCGCTCAAATGTCAAGACAATGTTGATTGTTTTTTTCGATGTTCGGGGGATTGTCCATCAAGAATTCGTCCCTCCAGGCCAGACAGTTGATGGAAAATTCTACGTCGATGTGCTCAGACGCCTCAAAGCTCGTGTGGCACGAGTTCGTCCAGAATTGGCGCGAGAGGGGCGTTGGATTCTTCACCACGACAATGCCCCTGCCCACACCTCTCTTGTTGTCCGTGAGTTTTTGAGTAAAAATTCCATTACGGTGACCGAACACCCCCTATTCGCCGGATTTGGCCCCGTGTGACTTCTTCTTGTTCCCAAAAACCAAATTGGTACTTCGGGGGCGGCATTTGGGGGACATAAATGAGATAAAAAAAGCTACGACGGGGCAGCTGAGAAACCTACAACCAGAGGACTTTCAAGGAGCCTTCTCACAGTGGAAACGGCGTTGGCACAAGTGCATTATGTCACAGGGGGAGTACTTTGAAGGGGATAAAATTGATTTACCTGAATAATTGTAAAATAAAATTTTTAAAAAACTTTTATACGTACTTTCCGGACAAACCTCGTACACGAATTTGGGAATAATATAAAGCACTGCTCGGATAAAGATAAAAAGTGAGCGTGAACGCTTTTTTTGAAAGACGGTTTAGTCGGTAGTCTCTTAATGGCATCAGGAAGCGCGTTCATCATTTCCGCCGTTAACTGTCCACCGCTGGACATAAACCTTCCCCTAAAAAGGAAGTTTTCCATAGTTGCCACGCTTTACAGGCGGATTAGCAATCGCAGTTAGGCCTTTGGGGATGTTTTAAGAAGGACGTCGCTGCCCTTCCTCGACATTAAGTTCCCTTAGTCGCCTCTTACGACACTCACGGGAAAGGAAGGGGTGTTTTTATTTATGCGTGAAAATGGCATGGTTACCCCGCCTGCGCTATCGATATACAATAGCGGGGTACCAGTGAGCGGTGATAGGTGAGGATGAAAAGGCAGGTCAGTTAGCCTATTGTGACGAATTCAATGATAAATTGGTCACGATAGTTTCCAGGGGAAACCGCGTGGAGGTCGACTTGATAGGGTATATTGATAGCAATGGGGACTAAACTCCCCATTACTAACAATCCCTTCCCCTCGGAAAGGAAGGTGTGGCCCCTTCCATGCCGGGACCGACACGGCGATAATTATATAGATTTTGGATAGTAAAATGGTCGTATGAATAATAAAATTAATTAAATGTATTTACGGAGACGTCACTGTTACAAATAGACAAACTATCTCTCTAATTTGCTTTGACGTTTACTATGTGTGATTTATCTAGATTTATTTAGTATATTTATGTTTATGTATTATTATTTATATTATATATGTATGCTTATGTATTGTAATGTTATTTTTATATTTAGAATATTTTGCATTTTGTTTGACTCCTTTTATGTATTTACTGTGTCTGACTTGCGCCATCTACCTTTCTCTCTATACTTATCCATTCTTTATGCCAGGTTGTCTGTAAGAGATTGCTTCTAGCGATAAGGCCGCCTTTTGTATATGCACATTCTGTATAAATACTCCTTGTATACATTTATATTGTGCGCAATAAAGAGTTTATTATTATTATTATTAATAAACAACCTGCACCCTGTCGTCTTAGACATATTATGGGTAGCTATACGTTTACGAACTTATTTTGGGGACCTCGTTTACTACAGTTCATTATATTATATATTAGTCAATAAAACAATCGTGGATTGAATTTATGTCATAAATATTGTTTGCACTTTGAACTGAAACATTAAATTACGTATCGAATTTGTATTTGTAAATAAATATTTAACAGACTGATCTAAAAAGAATTGCGAAGTTTCTCGAACTGATCGAATGATGACGCTTACTTTAAAACAAAAACCATTAACTGTTTAGATTGTCTTCTCTTATTAAGTGCCTCATATCAGCTTTTTTAAATATTCCTTATATACTTGTACAGACATAGTCTAGTTGCAATTAGTTGCTATCACTATTAAAAATGAGATGTATGGATTGATGGATATTCGTTACTCTTTCACGCAAAAACTACTAAACGAATTTTAGTGGTATTTGAACGAAGTTGTACGTACACGAATAGTATATATCCTAATTTAGAACATGGGATACTTTTTTTTGTGGATAATAATGAAATGGTAATTCCGCCTGCACTATCGGTATACACTGGCGGGGCACAAGTGAGGGATGATTGCTGAGGATGAAAAGTAGATCAATTAGCCCATCGTGACGAATTCAATGGTAAATTAGTCACGACAGTCGACCTGATAAGGTATATTGATATCGATGGGGAGTAACCTCCCCATTACTAACAATCCCTTCCCCCAACGTGAGATACTTTATACTAGTTTAATTATAATAGAAATATAATATTAATATAAAATTTTTAACTACATTTCCAGGTTATTCAGTATACATCCAGACTCGCTACCGAACATATACAGCAGTTCAGAAATATATGGGGTCGTCAAAGATGGTTCCGTGTTGGATGGTATACGAATATCAGGTGTAAGTATGTGTATCTTTTGGGTGAAATCTCCTCAGAGAGTAGTATTAGAACTGCCTGCAAGTGGAACATGTTTTGAAAGTGTAACACAATTACTTCTTCCTGTGCAATATAGGCTAAGACTTAAGCCACATGACCAGCATGTCACTCCATCCTCCGTTTATGAGGAAATTCCTCCCCAATAGTGGGACATTATAATCCGCAGTGAAAATGACAAATGTATGCGATCTCATTTACAGATACTAGGCAATCAGCAAGCGGCGCTGGTTGGTCAGAACTGCCTGCAAGCGGGGCAGGCCAAGAACACGTACCGCAGTGGTTGTTTTCTGCTGTGCAACACGGGCTCCCGTCGGGTACAGTCCACCCATGGTCTCCTTACCACCGTGGCTTACCAGCTAGGACCAGATACGCCCGCTGTATATGCGCTTGAAGGTATTTATTTACTACTTTTAACACCTAACTTCATCCGCGTAACCGAAATATGTTTACTGACCAAGATAAAAAGTTGCCTATGTCCTTCTCCATCCCATTTGTTTATTATATATTTATAAAACACTTACATGGTGATTCAGTCGACCTTGGGGGGGGGGGGGGGGGGGGGGGCAAGGGATTGTTAGTAATGTGAAAATGTTCTATTTATACGTATTGTTGAATAGAGAATAAATAAACGAATACGAGCAGACTAAGAAGCATCCGTTCATGAGTATGACGGATGAGCCAGTCATCGTTTAACTTAATCATATTTTAGAGAACTCAACGACCTACTTGATCATACATACATACATACATATCTGTCACACCTGTCTCCCATTAGGGTAGGCAGAAACAATGGAACGCCAAATGCTTCGATTCAAACAAACCTCTTTCGCTTCTTCCACATTCATCAATCTTGTCATACACGCTCGTCGGTTACGGGTACTTTTAATTTGGCCCTTCTTAAGCACGTCGCCTATTTGGTCGACATACGTCCGTCTAGGGCGGCCCCTACCGACATCTCCATTCATTCTTGTTCGATAAATCTCTTTCGTAATTCTTCTTTCATCCATCCTCTCCAAATGACCAAACCAACGCAACATTCCTTTTTCGATTTTTGTCACTACATCGTCTTTCAGTCCACACTTCTCTCTAATCACACTGTTTCTTACTCTATCTTTTAAAGTAATACCACACATACTTCTCAAAGCTCTCATTTGTACAGCATTTATCTTACTTTCATGCTTCTTCTGCCATACCCACGATTCGCTTCCATACATGAGTGTACTTGATCACGCTGCCACTAATCAGGCCCTTACCTATATATAACAATTTGCAAAGAAGTTCGTTTATCTAATCTATTTATCACTCTTCCAGGCTCGATAGCAGTCGCTGGTGGTGCCATGAAGTTCCTCAGGGACAATTTGAAGCTAATTAAGGATGTAGTAAAGGATACGGAGCAAATAGCGGGGCAAGTGTTCTCGACTGGTGATGTGTACTTCGTCCCGGCGTTCAGTGGCTTATACGCGCCGTATTGGAGGAAAGACGCGAGGGGGTAAGTTTATTTATTCACCCATTTTTTTTATGCAACTTAGAATGGCAAACAAGCTGACGGCTCATCTGATGGAAAGTGGTAACCGTCGTCTATAGACATGAGCAGTACCATGGACATAACAGAGTATACTGTTTCACCCATGATACCCCCCATGCGTTGCCATTCCTGAGGACTCTGGTGTTATTTCTCTGTGCCCTGTAAATTCTCGCCATATCCCACCCTTCAAACCGAAACACAGCCATGCAAACACAACTGCTTCACGGTAGAAACACGAATGGGACAGAGGTACCCAAGCAATCGACTTTTGTACAAAGTCTCCCTCTGGTAAACATGAGCAGTACCATGGACATAACAGAGTATACTGTTTCGCACCATGATACCCCCCATTCGTTGTCATTCCTGAGGACTCAGGTGTTATTCCTCTATATGTATAAATCAATATAACTGGTTTTGCCAAGATTGATATCGTTTCTTTTCTGTGGAACACAATCATATATACTAGTATATATATACTAGACATCTTTTATTTTGTTTAACCCACAGATAAAACTGAACTAATCTTTTCTTATATATAATTAATAATATGCCTTTATCGGTCAACGGTGGGTTATACAAAATGAATCCTATTACGATTCGCATAAAGCTGATTTTTAATCCACAAATCAAAGATATAAAAGAATTATTTTTAAGATCTCCTTCATAATATTATAAACAATCATGATATAAATTGAACGGTATTTATGTATAATTTTTCGTTTTTCCCCAGAATTATCTGCGGTTTGACAGCGTTCACAACGAAGAATCACATCATTAGAGCTGCTTTGGAGGCCGTATGTTTTCAGACGAGGTGAGTTTACGGTATTAAACCGATTAATTACGGTATTATCGTCATGAACCGCTTCATAATAAATACCGCACTTACCCGCTTATTCATAAGTACTTAAATCTCTTTACAAATCTATTGTAACTGTTACATTGTTTTGTCACTTTCAAATTTACCAGAGGGAGACTTTGTACAAAAGTCGATTGCTTAGGTACCTCTGTCCCATTCGTGTTTCTACCGTGAAGTAGTTGTGTTTGCATGGCTGTGTTTCGGTTTGAAGGGTGGGATATGGCGAGAATTTACAGGGTACAGAGGAATAACACCAGAGTCCTCAGGAATGGCAACACAACGGGGGTGTCATGGGCGAAACAGTATACTCTATTATGTCCATGGTACTGCTCATGTCTATAGGCGACGGTTACCACTTTCCATCAGGTTGGCCATCAGCTTGATTGCCATTCTAAGTTATATAAAAAAAAATTGTGATAACTAAAAATATAAGTCATTGTAGAATACAGTTATTATTATTATTACAATCGTGAACTGTCCACTGCTGGACATAAGTTATAATACAATAGACTGGAATATAGTTTGGTAATAAAAAAATATTTATTCCACAGAGATATATTAGAAGCGATGAACAAAGACTGCGGGATGCCACTATCGAAGCTCCACGTGGACGGCAAAATGACGTCCAACAATTTACTAATGCAGTTGCAGGCCGACCTCATCGGTATACCAGTCTGTGAGTAATTTTATTAATATTTGATAATTTTTTTTACAACACAGGGGGCATACGAGTATGCGGCCTACCTGATGGTAAGTGACTACCGCCGCCCATGGTCACCCACAACACCTACGGCATTACAGGTGTATTTATTATTTATTTATTTACTCATTTATATCTACGATGCTATATAACATTCGGATAAAGAAATAATGACCTCAGTGGAATCGTAACCCCGTCTACGCTACAAGTTTACGCTGAATGGCATAACCCAGAACACACATTCACGAGGCAATTAAGAAAGGTTCATTTCTTAAATTGATTTGACTACGAATTAAACCCGATTCGTAGTTTTCCAGTTGATCATTTTCCCCTTCTGCTATATAGTGCGCGCCCATTCGTGGGACATGTCGGCGCTGGGCGCCGCCGTGGCGGCAGGGGGCGCTGTGGGCGTGTGGGCCGTGCAGAGGTGGCGCCGCCACCACACGCCTGCCGACACGTTCCTGCCCACCACCACTGATGACGGTAAGTTGTCCCAACCTTCCTACCACCGTTTGCAATAGTTAATTTATAGCATAGTTTCTCAACCATACCATTATACTTTGCCAATATGTTTTTTCTAAAGTTTCCCATTCATTTTACTTGTCATTTATCGCGAATTTCCCACAATTATATTTAAACCTTAGATTATTAGATAGAGTAAGTAGTAGTAAGTTTTTTTTTTTTTGTACAACTTAGAATGGCAAACAAGCTGACGGTCCACCTAATGTAAAGTGGTAACCGTCGTCTATAGACATGAGCAGTACCATGGACATAACAGAGTATACTGTTTCACCCATGATACCCCCCATGCGTTGCCATTCCTGAGGACTCAGGTGTTATTCCTCTGTACTCAGTAAATTCACGCCATATCCCACCTTTCAAACCGTAACACAGCCATGCAAACACAACTACTTCACGGTTACAAAAGTGAAACAGTTGAAATGTCAAAATTTTGTCAGCTAGTAGCTGACGCCATTTTTTTTAATTACAACAACCACGCTTTTTCAGTGTTGCGAGTAGTTGGATTAAAAATTACCCAAAACAGATAGTTTTTTTTTATTTGATAGTTATATTTTTTTTTCTGATATAATATACATACATACGTATGTATTATTTATAAATTAATGTACATACATATATTAGTTAAAGTGACAGCATTTTTAATTATTTAAGAACGAAAACATATTTTATATTTATATTTATACAAAAATAAGTTAAAAGTCATTACAAATCATGCACCGTTTATCTTGTTCTTTCAAATATATTCCTAAGAATATTTTATCGTTTTTATTTTGCAATTTAATTTTACAATATAATTTCTCCCGTATACTAAATAATAAATGTACATTATGGCAACCCTACTCACGCACATAGATAAAACATCGACCTTTTTTTGGCGAAGCATTTATATAGAGATACTCTGTCTATATAATCTAAGATCAAATTTGTAATATTATATTAATATTTATTATTTTTTCGTGTAATATGTGTTACACGTAATACTTTATTAATTTTCTCTGGGTCTTCTATTGCCCCCCTGAAAGTCTCAAATATAGTGTAAAGGGTATTCATATCTGTAGATGGTAGTTTAAAGTTTCCAAATACTATTTTACTAAACTTATTAAGACTTATTGTCTCTTTTAAAACTTACCTCTTAATTTAAAATGACATTTCAGATCGCGACGCGCGGTACACGAAATGGAAAATGGCCGTGCAACGCTCCCTAGGATGGGCGACGACTAAAAAATCTATCACGATGACAGGTCAGAACAAAAGAAATAGCATTATACAGCTTCCGAATCATAGCTTTGATAATATAACAGATAGGAAAAACTCGATCAACGATGAACAGACCATAGAGCAAGATAGTAGAAAGAACTCCCTCATAACTCATGTCATAGACAATCCAGTAAGTGTAGACGGAGAGATAAATGCGTACGAAGAACTACTTAAATACGCAGCGAGGAAATTCTCAATCCTAATCCCCTTTAGAACGCCTAAACACGAACATACCATATTGGATGACATAGATTACTTTATGAATAAAAAGGAATGTGACTATGGTATGTGTCAATGTTGTCCTATAGAGAAAAAGTTGCAAACAAATTGGCAATCCATAGAGGATATTATAGAGAACGATCCAGAGATAATATTCGATAGTGACAATAATCCTATTGTCGTTGAACGGGTCAGAAGTCATCTGTGATATTTAATAGTAAAAATTTAATATTTAAGCAGGTTATAAATAAAAAAAAATTTATTGAATATCATTAATACCAATGTTTAAAAATTATAATAAGGACAGAATAATAAAAAAGGTAAAATTAGATAATAATAAGGTGGAGCAAACTAAATACAAAATAAAAATTTTGCAGTTAGTTACTTTTGCAATTAGGCAGTTAGTTATGAATTAACTATTCGGCCAATAACTTAATATATACCAAAATATATAAGGTAAAATTGAAACTATAGAAAGGGGAAAAATATAATATTAATTCAATTATAAATATAGAGAAATAGAACAGCTTTCCTCAAAGTTGGGTGTAAATGAAAATAAATTCCAAACTTTGTAATGGTTTCGGAACGTTTCAAAAATTATTTTCGTGAATTAACACACAGATATGGATGAAATGTTGCAATTGCAACGTCTTTTGTATAATTTTTATCTCTAAATTTGTGTCGAAAAAGTTTAAGGAATAGACAAAAACAGCGTCAGAGCAGGCGGTAAATTCTGGAGGGTTTCATTCGGGAGAGGGCTTGTATAACTTAAAAAATATGTAAACGGGAACACAAATTAATTAGTCCGTTTCTATGACTGTGTTTTAACCAAGGTTGCCAGATGCAAATTTAAATTTTTACCCAAACATCAAAAATATTAGTTCCTAATCAGAAAAAAGGCTATTCCTTCTGTTTCTACTTTTAGTTTACCTACCCGCTCCTTATTTCATTCTCTGTTGTGCTACCTTCATTTATAGTGTATTTATATACTATAAAATATAAATACAGTAAAAATTACTATACAATTTATAAGTACCAAGACTATCCAAAAAACTGCCAAAATGTCTCCAAACCCATTCCTCCAAGAATTTAATTTCTCCAAAATTTCGCAAAATGGAATTTTTTACCCAAAATTGTGAAAAAAAATACTCAAGCAACGTTGGTTTTGACCCATGTATAGGATTGTTGTACCCTTTTCGTTATACCTTATTTATAATAAAAATTTTACATACTTGTGTACTTAAACATTTTTTATGAGAAGGAATGCTAATTACTGGTGTTGCCTATTTCAAAAACTATTTCAACAAGAATTTAAAAAATATTCTTTCGACTACTTCGGTAATCGGTCCATTTAATTGTTATATGGGCATAAAAGAAAAAAAAAAATATTTCAAATAAAAAAAATAGTAGAAACAATGTTTATAAAATCAAATAGACTTAATTAATTTTATAAAATTTAAATACAAATAGATTTATTACTCGCATCCTAAACTATAATTTATTTCTTATTTCTAGGTAGGAAATATAAAAAAATATATTACATGAATATAACCTCAAGGAGGTTCAAAACTTAATAATAAAACCAATGGATTATCAAAATAAAACGTACATATATTAATTTAAATTATATGTAGTTTAGAGATTATGTTTTTATAGCTAGTATTGTTGATCTGAAAATTTAATTATATTTTGATATAAGATTAAAAATATTTATACATTATTCAATTATTTGTATAAGTAGGATATTATTACTGTATTCGGTTTTTACTAACAAATATCTTAAGTTCTTATTAACATCTATCAAATAAATGTATTATTTTTTCCTCTACTGGGTTTTTCATTTCCACTCCTTGCATGAGATTTTTTTAATTATTTTTTTACTGGGAACTCATTGGACCTTTTTATTAATATTTTTCTTAATACTTATATGGGTTTTGCATTTTAAATTTGAAACTAGAATATATGTTACTTTTTATTTTCCACTCGTTTCGAAATTTAAATTCGTCCTAGATTTAAGAAGAAAAAACTTAGTATGGTGCCAGTGTTTTCAGATGTTCATTTGTAAAAAAAAATTGTTCTGTTTTAAAGAAAAGACGAGAAAATATATTTTTAAATATATTAGTTCGTTTACACTACACATATCGACATACTCAATCTCATTTCACATTTCATAACTTACGATTCAGTCATTTTTACACAAGCTTAGCAATATAAACATATGCTGTTTATAAAATAAATTTAAGGGCTATAAATTTGTTAGTCACTTGTACTGGCTGCCAAAAATTACAGATATATAACAATGCAAGTAACACGCTTACAAGCTTGTATCTATTTTTTTAATATATTATCGTCCACATATATACATATTACACAGGTAACTAGAATTTTTTATTTTAATTTGTATTGAAATTAATGTGTGAAGAAATAATACCTAATAATAATTACTAAATAAATAACGTATTTCTAAAATTTTACAGTTGTGCTCTTTTCTATTTCAAACTTTGTATTTATTTTGCAGTACAGATAAGTTTTGATTCAATTTTTTATTATTTAATTAGAACTAAAAAAAGTAATAAATGTATGTCTTGTGCTTGTCTAGCTGATTTGATAACCTTTACTATTTTTTTTAACTATTTTTTTATTTATTTTTTTCAGAGGAAAGATACAGACTTCTTGCATCGATACCAGCGACGTTATACATCATAGGCAGCTTTACAATGCTAGTCGTATCAACTATGCTCAACAACAGGTGAAAAACGAAATGCAACTTAATTGTTTATTAGATAATGTTCATTTTTAAATAATTGCAATCAAATGTTTTTTTTTTTCGACATTTCAAATTAATAAGTTTGACATGACATCAATTTGTGTAGATAGACTTGTGTAGGTAGACTTTACGAAACCAATGATAAAAATCAAGTCGCTAGCAAACGAGCTGCATAAGCAATTTCTTTTTTATAGTTAAATTGCTTTTTAATTGCCATTTAAAAGTGATTAGCTGTATAAGAGAGTTATAAAAGTTGTATAATATAGTTGTTATGCTATTTGCGTACAAGAATATTCTAAAAAAATTTAAAACCAAATAAAAATACAATATTAAATTTAGACTGCTAATAGATCGAGCGCCAAAGTGTTTAGTAAATTTATTTAAATGATTAAAAGCATGAGTATTTATTTGGTCAATATACAATTACATTTTTTAAATCTATCTATTTATTAAAGATCATATTCTTAGCGCAGATTATATATTTTAGTACCATAAAGTACCAAAGTGACATATAGTCTCTGTTCTTAGCATTACACTGTAAGTAATTCAATCGTTAACAGCCAAAGAATAAATATAATGTAAGTAAAAATTAAATATTAAATGTTATAAGATTGACAAATAAATGTAACACATTAATCATCACAATTTGTATAATAATTGATGTTCATACAAACAATTTTAAAATATACACAAATCACTTCCCTTATCGACTTTAGAAAATTGCATTTTAGCTTCGAAAGAAAATTAGATATACTTTTTTAAGCTATTAGGCATGGGTAATATCTGTACAATATCTATATATTGGATATTCCACTGGATATTGACGGCGGAAAAATGGTAAACATTCATTTCGACATCGCTCTTAAAATCCATATTTATGTTCATTCCGACTGGGTGCCTCATTTTGATATATATTGGAGAACAGCTATTTATTTTAAATCCGTTGTTGAATCAATATATAGATATTATTACTACAATATATAATAATATATATAATATAGATACCGCTGTACCCATTTACCATTACCATTACCATTGTTACCCATTCCTATTAAGAATACTTATTTTGACAACTAATATGTCACAATATGGCGAGTGGTCATTCCTATTCTTATTTTGTTTGTGTTGTGCAATAAAGAATCGTATATATAAGGTCTTAAATCATGAAAATTTACAAAATATAGTGATTTTTTACAATTTTTTTTTTTAATGTGAATACACAATATTAGACCGTAATACGTTATCAATAAAAACAATAACAAATATTTGCTTATATTATTTCATAAAAGATGTGCCGAGTTTATTTTTTAAATATTTCAATTTTTTTTTTTTTTATGTATAAAAACAGTGTGTAGATTCTTAAACAAATATTGTATGATTGTAATTGAAGTCAAAAAGACTAGATAGTTAATAAATAATGGCATAGATTGGTTGGAAAATGGTTGAAAATGTTGACAGAGTTCAAAATGGATAACTGGAATTAAGGTTTTAAAAAATGGAATTGGTAAGATTTTGGAATACTGAGAAAAAAGATTTATGCATAAACACTGGTATTATTATAAGTACATTTAAATTAATTTGAAACCGTGACAATGATTGAAAAAATTAGTTTTGGAATTGGAAAATTGATAATTTAAAATGGAAGATTTGGAATTGGATTTTGACAAATTAAGGATGATCGAAAAAATTGAACGTTTGTGTAAGCCATTGCTGAAAGTAGAATAATTAAGGAGAAAATGTAATATTTTATGTATACCATTAGATTATATAGATAGAGCATCGAGTCTCAAAAACGGGTTTGTCAGATAATTGTCAAATTAGCCGACTCTTTTTTTCATCAGTATTCTATATACTTACGCATAAAATGTATCTTGACGTATTATTTAATAAATAAAATTAATGTTTACGCATTAAAAAGATATAGAATTTATAAGACAAAATAACAATATAAAAGTTGTAAAGGAATCACCCATAACTTTTTATCACGCAAATTTGTATGAAACAATTGACTGGTTTTTCTTGAAGTATGTTATATCTATGGAGACACTATATCTATATAATCTAAATGTGTACCTTATAAAAGATTCCCATGAAGTAATTCCACTGTCTGTCAACCTGTTATAATTAGTAAAACCTCAACTAGATGAGTGGCAAACAAACCTGTCGATAGAATCGTTATCGCTACCTAATCCGTGAGATAGAACGAGATGGTGACGTTTGGTGTCTCGTTTTTTGCCACACATACACTAACAGAAACTATTTTATCGATAGTTCGTTTGTCTACAGAAATTGGACTTTAATCGTGTACAAAACTCCCATGTTAGATTTATTACAATGAATTTATGTGTTCTATATTGAGAGACAAAAAGTACGCTGCATAGTTCATTAGTGAGTAAGGATCTTATTTGTAGTATATAAGTTAATGGTTTTATTATATATATATGTTATATATCCAATTATATTTGTTCTTTTATATATTGCTCGTCATTCCTATTAATATATAAAATAATGAGTATAATTTGAGTTCATTCAATTTAGAATACCAAAACACTTCCATTTTTTATTACGATTTGTTGTACTTACCAATTGTTGTTGTATTGTAATTGTTTTTATATAGGTTTTTTAATATTATAGGTTGTAATAAATTAGGCTCTGTGTAAACGATACATGAATTATTATTCGGATGATGTTGCAACATTTTTAGTCAATTTAATTCGTTAAATGTTTCAATATACTTGTTTTGAAAATATAATAAAATTTTATGGAAATTATCACAGAAACACTCTCTAAATGTTTATAATTAATAATTTTAAATAACAAATCGAAACATACAGTCGTTAAATCGATTTTAATTTGTACTACTATTGAACATCAGCATACCATATCCATCATTATCATCATCATCATCATCATCATCATCATATCAGCTTTTAACTGTCCACTGCTGAACATAAGCTCCTCCCCCCCCATGGGTGGTTTTGCCAGTAGTTGCACCGCTTGACTGGTGGTTTGGCAACCGCAGTTAGGCTTTAGAGATGTTCGAAGAGGATCGCTGCTGTCCATCCCTCGCCCTTCCTTAGTCGCCTCTTACGACACCTACGGAAAAGGAAGGGATGGTCTATTCTGTGCCGGGATCATACAGATACTGTCAAGTCGGATAATTGCAAAACTAATGTTAAGAAAGTTCTATTAAAACAAACTATGTACACGATATTCCGTGCATTGTAGCACGATGCGAATGACAGCTCATACTTTGACAGCTTTTAGAGTAATATTCTAAAAGAACTATGCGTATTGAGTGACATTTCATGAATCGATCTATGGCCGCATTTACACTTGTAAATAGGCATAGGTAACATGGATACCGATCCGATATCTATATATTGGGTTACTCTGGAAATAGATGGCGGAAAAAAGGTTCATATCAATCTGATATTTATTTCCGAATTTGTTAAAAGTCCGTTAAATATTGGATAATATTAGTCTTTTTGAATAACAGACTTTTAACATATTTATTACTGGACCAGTATATATATATATATTGTAACAAAAATATTTAGAAATTGCTGCACATTACCCATCCCTACTTGTAAATTTGTTTGCCTGCTAATAACTGAGAGGCTCTGGTCATATACGCCTATGCCTGTAAGTGAAAATGTGGCCTAATGACATATGTTTCACTTTGTATACTTACCTAAACTTTTTTTTTTAAGATACGTTATTAGCTCAAGCAACAACTAAAAAATTATTACCCACCGACGGCACACATAAGCATTTCACATTGTCACACTATCAAATAATTTAAAAAAAGAATGATTATAACAATAAAAATAAATAAGATGGCCAGTGTTTGTTATTTGCGAAGTTAATGTAAATTCAATTCCGTTAATGTAAATTCCTTATACAGAAATGTTCGTATAATAAATTTTTGTAATGTATTTTGTTGCATGGATTCCCTGAACACATTTAAATATATACATGCCATTCATCGCAGTAGCCAACGATATTATAAAATTGACGATTTGTTACGTAGATACTAAATATATTTGTTGGGTTTTTTTTTTATTGTTTTATTTTTATATCCATTTATTACTGTAATGAGGATATCCGCAAATATAACCAAATTCACCGACATAGTCCGAAGGATAAGCAGGCTAAAGTGACAGTGGCCTGGTATGTGACTAGGCCACAGCTCTAAGTACCGACAACCGACGGTGAAGAAATGTTCTTGAAGGGGGCCCCGTACGAGCAAACGCAGTGTAGGACGACCCCCTACTAGATGGAGTGACAAATTTAAATGCATTTAAGTCAATGGTTACAAGTGGCTCAGATCCGTCTTTTATGGCAGTCTATGGGGGAGGCCTATGTTTCCTACTTGAGCTATTTAGTCAACAACTTTTCTTTTTTTTATGGAAATAAATTGTTTAAAAACAAAAAAGAATAAAATAATATTAGATATAATTATGATTAGTCAGATTAAAGGAACAAAATTATTATCAAATTTAGCCCTGTATACCTTCAAAACTATGATTTTCTATATTACATTGTAGTAATACTACCTCCATTATATTGTTTCGAATATTTATTGCCCTTGTCATTTATCAACAGTTATTATTTCTGCTCCTTATTTAATCACTTCTCACTCGTTCTCTCATTTTATTATTAATTCCTTTTCCTATTTCCATTTTCCTTTACTTCTTTATTTAATATCCCGACTCATTTCCTTATTTTAATAGCATAATGAGCAACAACCTCTACCAATTTGAATAAAAATAACAAAAACATTAGGGGCTATGTTATAATATTGAAGAAAAAGCGATATTCTGGTAGGGTCTCGAGCCTGTGAACTGGAACGTAAGTAATAATAGATAAACTACGAGAAAATCAAATTTAAAAGAGTAACTGCCGAGTTTCTTGCCAGTTCTTCTTAGCAGGAAATTGATTTTTAGGTTTTTCATAAAGTGGAATAGTGGAATGGCCTATCGGAATTCGCTGGCGTAGTGAGAAATGTCAGATGCGGATGCATCTGACATTTCTCAATGGCAGGCTTTTTTTATGGTAACCCCGCTTGTGTTAACGGTATAAGCTGGCGGGGCACCAGTGAGGAATAATTGGAGAGAATGAAAAGACAGGTCAGTTAGCCCATCGTGATGAATATATCTGGAATTCAGAACGATAGTTTCCAGAGGGAATCACGAGGAGGTCGACCTGACAGGGTATATTGCTAGCAATTGGGCTGGTAGCTCCCATTATTAACAATCCCTTCCCCCCATGAAAACGGGCTAGTTAGCTTACCTTGATGAATTCAACTAGAATTAATCACGATGATTTCCAAGGAACCGTGGGGAGGTCGATCTGATGGGGTATATTCTCTCTGAGTTTAAGATTTTATTAATTAACACACATAAGTTGCAAAAAATGAATATGATATTAATTTTGAAATCTAGAGTAAAAGGATTAATATCAAATATAGTGACAAAATCATGTTGATAAAGTAATAGAATCCAGAACTATTTTATTCACAGAATTTTGGTCTGTTTATCTATATGTTTGTTTCGAAATTACGCAAGAACTATTGCAGCAAAATGATATGGTTTTTATAGTTGTGTACCTGAAGGTTTAACTTAAAATCTGGTGTATATTTTATTACATATTTTAAAAGATTCCATATGAAGTTTGTTTTCGTCTGCTGAGATTAAAAGTATTTATCCAAAGCCGTAAAAGTTGCCTATTCAAAAAAGTTTGCAGCTACTGTCAAAGTCACGAGATGTTATTTTATCTGAATATAAACAAAATTTAAAATTAAAAAAATTATAAGTTCTTTCCAATATCTACAAAGTGATTATCGTCTGATAAAAAGTATAAACTAAATTTAAAACCGGTCAGTGGATAGGCTTATAGGTGACTCTAGAATTATGTTTCCGCTGATTATTATATAAAAATTAATTCTTATATTATTTATTTATTTTTTCTATTGAAACTAAAATGAGTGATATAAAAAGTTTACCTGTAGAGACATTCATAGAAATACTTATAAATACGGATGGTATCACAGTTGGTAAGTGTCGGAGAGTTTGTAAGGAATGGAAAGAAGTTATTGACGAGAACGACTTGATTTGGCAAGAAATCTGTCGAAAGGAATGTAAATATTCCTCCAGAATTGCTAAAAAGAAAGCAGGCAACGATTGCAACTGGTATCATGTGTATAAAAATCTCAGAATGTGGTCTCACGTTACATCTTATCAAAGAAATGTGAGGGAGTTTTATAATTTTTCTTTGCATGACAAGACTCATGCATTGCCAGTTGATTACAATATATTACCATTGAAAGATACTAGAGGTGTCGTTCTATATGATATGAGTACTTTAAAGTATATACCGGTATCAGTTCCTGAGAGAAGTTGTCTGAAAATTGAAAATAACAATTTTGTGACCATCATACTATTAAAGTCAGGCTTATTTTTGCAAAGGACTGTGCAAAATGACGAACAGATGAGCGAGGCATTTTTTAAAGCCGACAATTTCGTCCTAGCATATGACATTTTGTATTTTTTTAATAATAGAGATGTGTATAGATGTGATTTGAGAATAAATAATTTGTCCTCACATTTAATATTACATTGTGACTATGATATCAAAGCTATGCAATATGATAATGGTACATTGCATTTGTTTACTGACTGCGGAAGGATTGTTAATTTTGGAAAAGATAAGAAAGTGACTGTAAAGTCTATAGACTGTCCACCTGAGTGGGTGAAACAAATAAAACATGTATCTGTGATAAATGACAAGAACTTTGTTTGCTATTCACGAAATCTGTTTAAAATCGAGACAAATAAATACCAACATTTATATTTGGATTTCCCTCTGATTACGGCATTGTTTTTTTATGCTGATATAGTTTTAATAGGCACAAGGGCTGGGGAAATACTGCTATATCGTTTGGCAAGTCAAAAAAGAGCAATCAAACCTATTTTTGAAGAGATAGCTGTGTTGCCAGATGGGAAATTTGCTGTTCAGTTAGATGTGTGTGAGAGAAAGACAGGACCAGTTATAGTGGTGGCAACATTCTTTGAAATAATGCTTATAGAAATTGATTTCTTTTCACATGTAAGTTTTTACATTATATATTTACTTATGATTTTGAAATGAACCAACGCTGGCACTATTAATAGTTTTGTTTTGTTTTAATACCATTATTAAGAATCCCACTTCTTGAAATTCACTAATGTATGTTTTATTTGTAACTAAGTTTTATAAGCAACTTTTCTTGCTGTCTAGTATACATGATAAACAGTGGCTACTTTGCATGCATATGTGGGATGTAGAAGGAGCCTCTTTTGTATGCCCAATACTATGTGATGCCGAATTTAATAATGATTAATAATGATAGTAAGGGATGTAAATGTAAATGATGGGGTAAAAATATTTGGAATACAACAATAAAGGCTTCATATTATCTTGGTAACTCAAACAAAGTTGAGGATAAAGAGTCAATATTGGATTTATATATATAATCTAGTTGCCCAATTGCAATTAACTTTCATGTGTATCTGTGTTTGTTATTAATCTATATCTTTTTTTTTTTCAGGAGAAACAAGGGAAAATATCTTTTGGCTCAGATAAATTATGTATGTATAAAAGATTATCAAGATTAAAAGACAGACTGAATGTGAATTAAGTCATAGATGAAATATTTTTATTATTTTGAAGCCAAAAATTTTATTCTCATTTAAAAAAAAAATATTTTAACAATTATTTATTTATTGTTTAAGTAGATTAACATGAAATATTATTATTGTTTTTTTTTTTTGTAGTTTAACATAATATTTGTACATAAATTAATTGTAAAATATTAATTTATTTAAAAATTAAGTATAATTTAAAATGGTTATGTAATAGTATGTTGATGTTGTAAATGTTGATAAAAAATAAATAAAATGATAAATTGTTTTTAGTTTTTATATGAAATTGTAACTTAGTATCAATTTAAATCAAAATTTGAATACTAATGTGAACAACATAACATGATGTCTTGCAAATTACTTCTTTTATGAATGAAATATAGGAAATATTTTTTCAATTGCAATGAAAATTGAGAAATTAATATAAAACCAACACGGGACTGAATTCTGCTGATTTCATGATGAAATTTGATTCAGAATTCGTGAAGACAACACGTAATATAGGCGTAAAAAGAAACAAGTAAAATTAATAAGTAAAATTGACAAGGCGTCAAAGTAATTTAATTATTGCTTCATGCAACCAAAAAGTTTTTTGCCCTACCATAAACTTGAATTTACCAGACGAAGTAATTAACAAATTTATTTTCAATACAGTTTTAGTGTATTAAACTAGTATCACTAGATGGCGTTATATAAAATTTGAAACTCGATATGTTTATGTAAAGGTTAAAAATAATAGTTTATTAAGCTACTATTATGACATTGCATAACACCCCATTAGTCCGAAGGACGTGGCAATCAATATTTTTGACTCCCGACAGCTCTACGCATTTTATGCTAGTGCCTAGGGATGTGACATCGTTCCGAAAACATCGATGTTAAAAAATATCCTTAATAAAAACGATGTATTAATATTTTAATTTTTTTTTTTCACCATTACTCGTCTTAAAACATGGTTAGAGAAATTTTAATGAACATAAAGTAGGTAACTAGATTCACATATTCAATCAAGTGTTTTAGCTATAACTACGTCTTAAAATACGTATAGTAAACAGTTTAGAATTATACATGCATGTGTGTTACTTTTGTATCCCTAGTAGCGCCAGGAATTGCAATAATATGAAATTAAATGGATATAATAACAACATCTTATAATAAATAACAAATATATATTATTTCGCGGATTACAATTTATAAAATTACGATTACGTTTATAAAAAGTATTAAATTAATAATAATGTAACTATCCGCCGTCTACATATAATTCAATGTGACGGTTATGCACATGGTACCCCTTATGAGGTTACCATGCCTGAAGAGGAACCAGAGGGAGACTTTGTACAAAAGTCGATTGCTTGCGATTGCTGTCCCATTCGTGTTTCAACCGTGAAGCAGTTGTGTTTGCATGCTGTGTTTCGGTTTGAAGGGTGGGATATGGCGTGAATTTACTGGGTACAGAGGAATAACACCTGAGTCCTCAGGAATGGCAACGCATGGGAGGTATCATGGGCGAAACAGTATACTCTGTTATGTCCATGGTACTGCTCATGTCTATAGGCGACGGTTACCACTTTCCATCAGGTGGGCCGTCAGCTTGTTTGCCATTCTAAGTTGTATAAAAAAAAAAGACTAAGGTCCTGTAATTACACTACTTTCCTATTAGCCACTTATGCAAGTAATCCTTTAGACTAAAGCAAAGCTAAAATGAAGAATTATTTTTAGCAGTCCATGTATGTTTCTATTTATATATTTAAACTATTATACTTACCATTCAAATCTCAGTCCTATAGCTAGCAATATATCTTGTCAGGTCGACCTCCACATGGTTCTCCCTGGAAACTATCGTGCCTTTTCATTCTCACCTGTCAACCCTCACTGGTAGCGTATATCCTTAGCGCAGGTGGGATTGCCATTCCATTATCATCCATTAAAAAACCCATTCAGCTTTGGGAGAAAAGGGAATGGAAATTAGCCGCCTTATTGCTAGCAATAGCTATCAGGTTAACATTCATGCGGTTACCCCTAGAAACCATCTTGGTTAATTATTTATGAATTCGTTGCTAAATGCCAACTGACCTGCTTTCATCCTCACCTATCATCATTTACTGGTGCCCCGCAAACTTATAGCAAAAGCGCAATATATAATTCCATTATCACCCATTAAAAAAAGTCATTTAACTTGCAATTTCAGCTAAGAAAAATCTGGCAAGAAACACAGCTGATGTTCTTTTTTTGAATTACTTCGAATATCGAATACGGGATCCGAGATTCTGAAAGGTATTAAATTAAATGAAGCACGCGAAGCTTTGAACTTTCTAGACTAGTTTGAAGTAAGTATCTACTTATTCCTACATAGCCCCAAGCACAATCCTTTAAGGAACCAGAGATTTTCCTGTTTGCTAGTACAGACATCGAGTGTCTTTTTTTATTTCATGCTATTACCGACAGAAAATAAATCCGACTTTTTTATTATGTTTAATAATATTATTAATAATATAAAAGTACTCACGAATGTAATCCTAAACAGGATAGTCAGAGCCATTTGTCGACTGTTACCGTTGTAGTGCACGTAACAATAGGTCCATCCCAGAATTGTATGGTGTAGACATGAGTAATATGGTAACCAATCCAATATTTATACATTGGGCTTCTCTGGACATCGATTTGCGGAAAAAAAGGCCATCACCCATTTCGTTATCGTCCATGTCGATCGGATATCTACTTTAAAATACGTTAAAAGTTTGTTATCTATTATTTTTGGATAACAAACTTTTAACATATTCGTTATTGGGCTAATATATATGAGTAGATATTCGCGACAACGTTCGGCATTCTCTCCGACTCTATGGCCGCAATACAGACAGTAATAAATCCTGGAACTTTCCACCCATTAGCAGTAGAATTTCGAAAAAAGCATAAAATTGTAACAAAAGAACAAAATAAAATAATAAAATTGTATTGAATTGATCACATGCTGGGTGGGAAGGAAATGAGAGAGCCCCGTCTCATTTGTCAAGCGTTTGATTAGAGATCAAACGATTGAGGAGTGGGACGAGAGGTATCGGTCGGGGGGGGACGGCTTCTGGAACCAAAATGTTTTTACCAGATGTAATGAGCGCGTACAGGATTGTCGGTAAAACTCAAGCAAACATATACACAGCACAATTACTCACGGGACACGGTGGGTTCGCTGCGTATTTACACCGTTTTCGGTGTCGGGAGGACCCGTCGTGCCCTTGTGATCATACACAACCAGAGAGCAATTAAACATATAATATCAGAATGTCCTCGTTTCGGGGAAATGCGAAGGAAATTGGAAGTAGAAATTGAAATAAAACCAGACGAGGAAGAGTATATAGGAATAATGGCTAATAATAAGAAGCGTAAGCTATTCCTAGAATATAGTATAAAAATAGTAAATAGAAATTATGTTAGTAAATAAGTTATATTAAATAAGTATACTGAGTATACTCAGGCAATATAAATGTTAATGTTATCAACTAGAAATAAGGAAATAGCAATAAATAAAATGTAATAAGTCAGTCGAATATCAACAAAATAATAGAAAATAAATAGTACCCAAAAATCCTGAAATCCTACCTAAATCTGAAAGGTACATGTAAGAAAAAGTATGTATGAATGTCAAAATCCTGGAAATCAATATCAGGGTATATATGTATTTAAATATATATATATATATATATAAATATTATAACTAAAATACGTATGTATATATTGCTATATATTATATTACTCACTCCTTGTACGGTGCTCAGTCCCGGATGTGACCGAAGCATCGCAAAGATATCTCTGATAATACATATAATATGTGCATTTTTAAGAGACCAGATTACCTTTGGAAGTTAATATTAGATACATTGACGTATGTCAATGTATCTAATACTGTCGTTGTTGGATTTCGTTCTTGAGGACTATGGGGCTACATCTCCATATCCTGTAATTTTGCTGCTTTAACTCCCACTCTATGAACCGAAATACTCTCATAAAAACAGCCGTGTAGCAACAAAAATACGAGTAAGACAGACGTACCTGAATAGATAGGGAAGTTTTGTAGATACATAGTTTTTTTTTAACACAGGGGGCAAACGAGCATGCGGCTCACCTGATGGTAAGTATATGATAGATTATTTATTCACCATTGTTGTACCAGCTGTTAACTGTCCAATGCTGAACATAGCTTCCTCATAAGGGGGGTTCTGTCAGTATTTGCCACGCTTTGCAAGCGGGTTGGCAACCGCCATTAGGTTTTGGAGATGTTTTAAGAGGGACGCTGTTGCATATACCGCGCCCATTTATTTACTATTATAAGCAAATTCATGAATTATCATGAATTTTTAAGCAAAACAAAGTTTGTAGATGGTTTTATGTTACTCTATTGGTGAAAAGGCAACCACCTCATTAAGCTGCGGAGTACCCGTAGCGCTGATTTTCTGCTGGTAATTGGTGCAATTTCCCATTTGGTAAAATACGTAGATAGTAACTGAATATTGGTGTGCATTCGATTAAAATAACTAATGCAGCAACGTCAGTAACTGTCGCCCAGTAGCATTTATCAAACTGAAGTAAAATCCATTCGTTTTGTTAGAAAGATATTGTATTGAATTTTCGAATCCAAATTCCAACATTGGCTAGGTTTGGGGATTTTCTATTTTCTAAGGTGATCGAGATTGAAAATATTCATGACAAGGTTGGATAAGGCAATCCAGAAATGTATTTAATAGGATTTCAACTGTATTAAAAAATATGGACAGTCTTAATTCATTTGTAGGTATTTTTTTTATGTTATCTCATAACTTGTAAACTTATAAACATTTAGATTTTTTTTCAACCGACATCAAAAAAAAGGTGATTCTCAATTCACTTATTTTTTTTTTTGATGGATGATAATGGTATGGTAACCCCGCCTGCGCTAACGGTATACGCTTGCGGAGCACCAGTGAAGGGTGATAGATGAGAATGAAAACAGGCCAGTTAACCCATCATGAAGAATTCATCAGGAATTAACCATGATAGTTTCCAGGGAGAACCGCGAAGATGTCGACCTGGTTACGTATATTGCTAGCAGTGGGATTCTCAGTCTTTATTACTAACAATCCCTTTCCCCCAATTCACTTATAGTTTTTTTATGTTTGTTAACTCATAACTCCGTCAGTTCTAAACCGTTTTGGATTTTTTTTAGCCAAAAAGATATATACTATGCGCCGCAGTGGACAATTAACGGATGCTATGAATGTATGCATGAA